TACCTTAACCGGTTCGATGACCGGTCCGGTTTTTAAAACTATGATTTTGACAGCTCTAAGAAATACAATTCATTCAATCTATTTAAAATATAAAAAAAAATTCATTTGATCTATCTATTAACAATTTTTTCAAGCATAAATATCCAATTCATTAATAAAAGTAATGTGTAAAATAAATAATTTTTATTTTAAAAATATTTTATTTTTCTCTTTTTTCTTTATAAGTCATTACATTATTATATAATCTTTTAAAATTTTAAAAAAAAATTATGACAAAATAATTTTTTAAAATGACAAATCTAATAAATATCTCATAATATAATTAATAGATTTTAAAAAGTAACAAACAAATCTCTAATTATTTATAAAATTAAATATATTAGATCGGATTTGATCTATTATTTATTTTTATTATAATAAATTAATCGAATAAATTTACTCATAAATGGATCAAGTGAATCATATATAAATGAATTTATTTCTCATCTTTAATAAAAGTATAAATTTTTCTCTCTTTCATGCATGATTATTGTAAAACACAACAATATTACCCTATAGTCTATATATATAGTGATTTCATTTAAATAATAGTATAAAAACTCTTATTACCGTAATCGAACTCTTAACAGTTTTATTCCTTCCAAATTTTTAGTGGTAATTATTGAAAATTTTAAAATTTCAGGAACCTGGGAGAGCAGAAGCAGATTTTGGCCGATTTCCAGTGAAATCAGTGATAAGAAACATATACACTCTCTTCTCTAAAAGTGAAGTGCCAATAGCACCTGATGATAAAGAAATCATGGACTTGTTTGATCCATCTACTCCCTTACCTCCATGGTTCTCTGAGGAAGACCTTGAAACCTATGCATCATTATATGAAAAATCTGGATTCAGATATGCACTGCAGGTTCCTTACAGGTAACAGACCTGACATTTTCCTGGTTCCTTAAAAAATTAAAATGTTATATATAAATAGTCATTGGACTACGGATTTCTATAACAACAAAACTTATATAGTATGATGAGTACTATAAAGTATTGTTCAATATATGATCAAAATTAGAATTTCACCTTGTAATATGTTAAATAAATGATTTTAATAAATGTTAATATTGATTTAAGAAGAATACTAATAGTATTTGATACCGTATTTAAATTTTATCCTTTCTACAACATTATATTTGGACTATATTTATGCAGGAGTTCCAAGGTGGAAACTGGCTTAAGTAACGTAAAAGTTAGTGTTCCTGCACTTCTGATCATGGGTGAGAAGGATTATGTGTTAAAGTTTCCAGGTATGGAGGACTATATTAGAAGTGGGGTAGTGAAAAATTATGTGGCAGACTTGGAAATCGTTTATATTCCAGAAGGAAGCCATTTTGTGCATGAACAAATTCCGGAGAAGGTGAACCAGCTGATCATTGAGTTCCTTGATAAACAATGTATCTGAATCTATTTTACAGCTGAAAGCATGTTCCTTGAGTTATGACGATAATAAGTAAATCCAAATTTCGTTTTACCACTCTAGATTATTTGAATAATTGGGATGGTAGAGCATGAGCTTGAGATCATGTTACTCAATTGGTTGAATATTTTCCATAGTGCATAGAAATATCCATTACAACACAAAAAGTTATTAACAATATTTAAAAAATATTATTTAATATTGTATATAAATATTGTTAGAGTGTTTTTGTAATATATTATGTTAAAGACTTTTAATAATATTTTTATATAATAATTAGACAATATTTTTTAAATATCATTAAAGTGATATTTTTGTAATTTTTCAATAATGTTAAGTTTTTGTTAACTTTATAAAATAATTAGTTTTAATATAAATATTGTTATCAATTATTATACACTTTATGCATTCTAAACTCCTATAAATTCTTTAAGAAAAGGTTAAAAAAAATTTTAATTAGTCATCACTAATTATATATCAAATATCAAAATTTATTTATTTTAAGTAAAATTACATAATTATATAAACTATTTATAGGTCATTAATTTACTCAATGTGAGACTCTAATTATGGTAAACAATTAGTAATGAGAGAAATATATTTTTTATGTAAATTATTTCTTACTTGATATGAGACTTTGATTTTAGAAATAATTAGAAAAAATGATATTGATATAAAAAAAATTAATTATCTATAATAACATTTTTTTTTTAAATGTTAGAAAAATAAATTTATATGACATTTTTTTATTCGTATGAGATTTTGATTTTGAAAATAATTAGAAAAAATAATATTGAAATAAAAAATGTTACTTTATCTATAATAATATTATTTTTTTTAAAATATTGTAAAAGAGCCTATTAATTTAATATACAATAATATTTTAATAAATGTAAGAAATAAAATATTATTAAGAAATTAAAATATAGTACTCATCTCATATTCTCCTTCATAATGTGTCATTTGATTGTATTTTATATGGTAGTTATAATTCCATGTTCAACAATATTGTTTTTAACATGTAAATCCTATAATATATTTGTCCACGTCTAGTGATAAAATCTATATATCCTATATATTTATGTTCTCTTTGTTTTTTTTGTTAGTGAGATTCATGTTGGAATAGCAAATGTGTATTTGGCAACAATTACCCTTCATGGCGACGGGAATTGTTCTTCTTTTCTTCAACACGCTTTATTTAAATCCGAATTCTCGGGTACTTGTTGAATCGTGATCTAACTTCGACGAAAAACACGTTTTGACCGGTTTTGGAGGTTTAATTTCCCACTCCATGACTGCATTTTTTTTTAATAAATTTTTTATAGTATATATTCGGGAGAGAGATCTTTTTATTCAAAAAGTAAATTTAATTAGACTTACTTTATTTAATAATTTATATTTTATATCAAATTTTAACGGTCTAATATATAGGTTAAGTCTGCAAAATTTTTAAAAGTTTAAAAATTATTTGATATTTTATTTTTTAATTCAAATTAACAATAATTATAAAAATATTTTATACGTTGATTTGAATTAATGAAACGAAGTATCAAATAATTCTCAATTTTTTTAAAAATTTATAGATTTGATTTATATATTAAAAACTTTAAATTCAACCGTTAAATTGTTAAAATTTGATATAAAACATGAGTTATTGAACGAAATAAGTCTAGATAGACTTACTCTTAGAGTAAACAAATCTCTCTCTCTCTCTCTATATATATATATAGGAGGGATCCTTTTACTTTAGGAGTAAGTCTACCTAGATTTATTCTGCTCAATAACATATTCTACATCAAATTTCAACGATCCAATCGTTCAATTTAAATTTCTTAATGCATAGTTCACTGTATCTCTATTACATCATCATCGTTATTGTCATCATCCCCACCATTGTTGTCACCACCTGCTACAACTGTTGTCACCACCATTGTCGTTGTCACTAACAATGATGACGATGATGGTGGTTTTAGTGGTGACGACGATGGTGGTAACGGTAGCGGTAGTAACAATAATGGTAATAATGTAACAGAGATACAGTGAAAGTAGTGGTGATGGTAGTGACAATTCTAATAACGAGGATGAGAATAACAATGATAGACAGAACCACGATAATACATAATAACATCTTTTAATCTAAATTATTTATTTTAATCTAACAGTTGTTATTAATTGTTCTTATGTTAACAAGTATTTTCACTTTAGTCAACCTTTATATATATAGGGATTAGAGTTAAAATCTTATTTTTATACTTTTATTCTTCTTAATATTAAAAAATATACATTAATTATTTTTAAAGTTAAATAATTTAAATTATAATAGTAATTAAATAAAACTTAAATTTATATATTTAACTAAAATATTATATAATTTTTAAATTTTATTTTTAAGTTTTTATTATCTGTTAGCTTTTATGTACTATTTACATTAAAATATAATTTCTTTTGGTGAATAAATTGAAATATGATTAATAACTTAATATATAATTTATCTAAAAATATAAATAAATTAAAATTGTAAAAAAATGATGGGTCTCTTGCAAGTTTAACTCTAACACGATAAAGTCCAACAGAAAAGTTTTGAAAATACTAATTCTCTTTTTTCAAACCCGAACTATTCTTGTCATTTGCATAACAAGATAGGGAAAGTAAAATCCACCACTCACCTGCCTGTAGTCATTCCTAACCACACTCTTTGTCATTCTGCTTATAAGGGGAAAAAGGTCATCAAATGTGACTAACTTTAAGATTGTAGTTTACTTTTGAATACTGTTGTATATACTATTCACGATAAAAGTTAAAAAAAAAAAAAAAAAAACACTAACTTTGTAGTGTAAGACAATTATGGAATGAATACTAAATACTACTAATGAAAATAAAGGTATTTCATGACTCTACACTTAAATAGTATTATATATAGTAATAAGATAATGTGTGACTATTATTTAGTGACAGATTTTTTAAGATCAAAAGATAACTTATATATCTTCATCAATTTATTATTATTTTATTTTTGTATCTTCATATATTGAAGATCGACCGATTACTTCCCTGTAAGTTTAGGGATATATAATTAATCTCAATCGACCTTATATGCTATTCAAGTGTAGATCGAATCTATTATAGGACAACAATTTATATCTATCTTGTCAATTATTATGACTTGACTAAAACACAAGATTATATTGATAAAATATATAAATCACTCACTATTTAATAAGATAATATATATATGTTTGATATAGCGGAATCTAAGGATCATAAACATAATAGAAAAACGTTGAGATCAAAATCAGATAACATGTCAAAAAATTAGGGCCACAAAGCCCTATTACTAGATGAAAGAAGGACAAAGATGCCTAGAAGTAGAAGGAGCTAGGTATTGATTGGAGAAGAAAAATAAACGCATTAAAAGAACATAGAGAAGAGAACTATTAAACACATGTTTGGAAAAACATTCAAAACAACTCAAACAACATTTTCCACTTTTCAAAGAAAAAAACATAGAAAAAGGGAAAAATTACTTTAAGTTTAACATGCATTTTTTGGGATTGAATACCAATCCAAACACATTATAAATATTGCTCTGGTGATGAAATTATCTTTATAATCAGAACAATTTTTATTTTAAAAATTAAACTTAGAAAAAATATTGTGTACCCAAAAATAGAAAATGAGGAATCGTACAGTGCTGTCCTTAGAAAAAGTCCTTAATTTTGTTGTCAATCACCTCAGAACAAATGACTTTATAGGCCTCTTCTGTAGGATGGAAACTGTCCCAGAATATGTAGTTTGAGGTGTTTGGACATATGTTCTGAGTAAGAGGGTTGCACAATATGGCTACTTCAATATTTCCCGTGCCACAACATCCTTTGTCTGTTACTTCAAAACCTAAACCACCAAATACCATCACCATTAGCAATGAATCAGACAAATTAACAAAATTGTACTAATCAAACTTTTGGCATTGGATAACCCAACTAGCTACATGACAATCCTATTTGATTCTTTACGAACATTTTCATGCTAATTTATAGGTCTCTCGTGAAGAAAATGATGATATACATGAACCTTTGCTAAGAGTGTAAGAGAAACAACCCCACAAGGCCACAATTATATGAACATGCAAATGAGTTTTCTAGATAGTTAATATATATATGATGCATCGGAGAAGTAGCTTCCACCAGTAATATGAGGTAAATGTTGATAAATATAAGTATAAAATGTAAATTGAGGTAGGTACTTGTAAAAGGTATATAATGATATAATATATGTGTGTCTGAATCTGATTACCATATGTTGCCGGCTTTTGAATCAAATTGAGTAATTGGTTGTAAATGTCAAGGTAGACAAGTCTAGCATCTGGAAACTCTTTTGTAAGGTTATTTATGAGAGATGAGAGTTTGGTGTTGAATATGATTGCGGCTTGGTTTTCAAAATCTGAACAATTTCTTTGTTTGCCTCCGTGTAATGTTCTCTGTGAGGGCACGCACCCTATAACCGGTAAATTAACTACTCCAATCCTTCTACCTCCTAGTCCATAAAGCTCCTGCATTCAACTCATTCTTATTAATATCTTTTATGCAAACATATATAAAACAATCGGGATTTTAATAGATTTTTTTAAAATTATTATAAAAAAGTTTTGTAGTATTTAATTAGAAAAAATTAATACAATTTTTTTAAAGATTATATCAAATTTAGTGATATTTAATTAAGATAATTATAATTTTTTAGGATGTGCCAAAATTGCTAGTATTTAATTAAAAAATTATTTTAAAAAAAACATGTTGATATTTAAAATCAGTTTATTGGGTTATTTTAAATAATAGATTTTGTGAAATTTTTTAATAAAATTTGCATGTAATTTACTCATTTAATAATCTTTCCAAAATCTTTAAGATTTCGCATAATTTTTTTTTATTTCTCATTTGTTTTCTATCTAGTGATACTTCTCTCTTGTCCTTAGTATTTCTTTCTTTCTTTCCTGTCTCATATTTTCTTTCTCTCTCCACTTTTTTCCTTCTTTCTTTTCTATCTCATTTCCTCTTTCTTTTTAATTTATCTATTTATCTTCCTCTTCTACATTTTTTCTCTTATATTTTTCTATTTATCAAAATTGATGTAGAATTTATCAATATTTGTTTTTAATTATTAAATATTATTTATTGTTAAAATTTTTAAATCATTAAAATATAACTATTTATTTTTAATAAAATTTAATATTGAAATATTAAAATTTTAAATATATATTAAAAAATAATTTTATATGTAATTTAAAAGAAAAAAAATTATTAGACCAAATAGATCCAATACCTTTCTAACCTAATTTTTACTACTTCAATTGATACAATACAATAATTTTTTTTGCCTAAAAATAAGGAGTCAGCTTAAACTGACCTAGCAAGCCAATAAACCAATTCATTATACTGGTGAATTTTTGACGGTTTTATTCGTTATTCTATATCAATTTTGAATAATATGTTAATATAAATTCATGAAAGACTATAAGTAGTCAAATATTATTTAAGAAGACATAAAATTAAAATCAATTATCATTTAAAAGATTGAAAAATTATATTAATTTTATTTTTCTTTATTCAAATCTTAAATTCATATTATCCTTTAAAATCTCATAAAATCTTATGATATAAATTAATTAAAATTCATATTACAAAATTTTAATTATAAAAATCTTTAAAAAAATCTTAAAAATCATTATATTCTTATAAAATCTTTTAAAAATATTAAAAAATGATATTAAAATAATTTTATGAAATCTCTGTCCAATATATCATTAATTTCTTCGCAGATCGTTTAATAGAACCAATATATCATTAATTTCTCCGTTGATAGTTTAATAGAAGATACCTGCAAGAACTTTGTGGCATATGAAGCCATTAAGTCGGTGTATGCTTGAATGTCATATTGTAATCGCCTAAACAAAGGGTAAGTGTTGGTAATGTCGTTACTTCCAATGCACAAGATGTATATGCTTTTTGATAATATTGTTGCTGTTCTGTTTTCTCCAACTGTTCCACTTATCTTCTGTATGTATTCCTTGAACTTGTCTAGTTGATCCGATAATGATAGCACTAACTGAAGTGACATATGACAGAAAGTAAATTATAGTTATTTTTAAGAAAAATGAAGATATATGAATCCAAGGGTTTAGAAGTTATTTACTGCTGTTTTAGAAGTTAAAGGATCATATCCAGCAGCACCGGATGCAAAGCTTACACCTGTAAGGAGATCTTCAGGTTGCAGTTTTGGGTCAAGATAAGGTGGCAAAAGATTTTTTACTCCAAATTTTGCAGCTGAAAAATAAAAACAAAAGGAAGAAACTGAATAAGAACATGCATGTCCGTTCTCTTATGCATGTGACATATTAACATGCTTCAATCTCTTTTCATTTCTTATTTAATTTTATGCAGACATATATACTCATTCTTCTTCTCAATTAACAACACGTTAACATTTTATGTACGTTTGTGCCTCCTCTTCAATCCTAAGATGTCAACAACAAAAACTCTGCATCATGGTTTTAAATTGCGGTTGCGGTCGCGGTCGCGGTTGTGGTCGCGATTGCAATTATTGCAGTTGCGGGTATTGCGATGCGGATTGCGGCTGTTGCAGTGTGAAATTATTAATTATTTTTACTAAATATAAAAAATTTATAATTATCAATATATATTTTATTTTTAAGAATTTATACATTTTAATTCTTTTTTTATTTAAATATTCTATTATTTTAATGAATAATTTAATTTATTTTAAAATTATAGTATCAATTTGTCGTATTGCGGATGTATTGCGGTGCATTTCAGATGTATTGCGGATGCAACACCGTTACGTTGCGGAAAAATGTGTGATTTCCAGTCTCACCGTAATTGCAGTCCGATGTCGTTGCGGACAAGGCCGCAACAGCAATATTACGACCGCAATACATGTTGCGGACCGCAATTTAAAACCATGCTCTGCACTCTGTAATGATCGACATAAAAACAATTGATATGAATATAATATTTTGTAATATTACCATAGTCAATCAGATATATTATTTAATAAATTAATTAATTAATACTATATAACTTACAAATCATTTTATTCTTTTTTTTTTAATTATTTTTTTATTTCTATATATTAAATATAAACTTCTAGAAAATATTTTTGAAGACTTTTTTTTAATGAGAGTTTATAATTTTTTTTATATAATTTAATTTTTATTTATCATAATTATTT